AAATATATTACTGGAAAGCTGCCTTTTATTTGATTAATTTGAAAGACGAAAAAATGCTAAATAATGCAGATGTATGGTGAAATGTTGTAAATAATCACCATCATCATATGTAGTAAAGAAGAAGAAATACCTAGCACCATAAAATATTTCACCACCAACTCAAATGACAGGCTTCTCTCGTATTTGACTACTCAATTCAACATAAAATAGAATATAAATAAAACAATATAAATAAATACAAAACATTTTTAATGTTTTCTTCACCGGTGCAGTGGATTTAAGTAAAGAGCTATGATGGTGCTGCAAATGCCTTTGCATAGTAGTAGCATTAGCCGCTGTGTACGGCATTATTTTCCTACAATGCTTACAGATGTTTCCTGTTTTGTCTGTCACTAATTCACCATTTATATTTCCCGCCGGCTACGCAAAATGCTGCCACACAAAAGATTTTAAAGTGTCTGGGGCATCTACTATGGTAATTTCGTCAAACACCGACGTGCTTACATCAGCTGATTTGCAGCACAAGAGGGTCTAGCTGCAGACGCCTGTAGAGTGGAGCTCCACCGGAAATACGTCACCTCCACAGGAAACACGTGATCTTTAAGGACGTAAAGTGGAGCTCCGGTTAGGGTTAGGGTTAAGGTTTATTCGCTGTGACACAGAGTTGAGGCCACGTGTTTCCTGTGGAGGTGACGTATTTCCAGTGGAGCTCCACTCTACAGGCGTCTGCAGCTGGACCCTTCTCCCTTCGCCAGACCGCTTTTCACTCCGACGAGAAATCTCATCATGTTGTAATATCGTTACATCCCTACTAATTAATGCTGCCCCCTGCATGGTGCAATCACCAATGTATTTTTTTCTGTATCGTCATTAATATCATTTTTGCAAATTTTCTTACCGTGATATAATTTTGAGGTTATATCGCTTACCCCTTATATGCACATATTTCCAGAAGGCAGCTCTGGCTCTGGCACAGACACACACAACAAACATGTGTGTCTGTAAATAAAATGGAGTGTCAGCACGAGGCCCCATCCCACACCTGCCTGGCCCCATCCCGCTGCTCGCTGACCCCGCTTCCTGCTGCGCACCATGACAGCAGCGACCCAATCAAACAATTCCAGGTGCTGCGTTTTACATTGCAACTCAGACCCGGGTCCCTGCTCAGAGCTACACTGTAAAGCTGCAGTGTCCCCCGCCCCTGGCAGCAGAGAGACAGCCTGCCTGTGAATGTCAGCAGTATGTTATTAAGGTCTCAGCTGGTCACAGAGGCGGGAGGGACGCGCTGGCCAGCACTGCAGCCTCTCACCCCTGGGTTGGGGGCTTGATTCCCGCCTCCGCTCTCTGTGTGCGGTTTGCATGTTCCTCTG